AGTGACCACGAGATTTTGCAGCGAGTAGATCATTGGATACTTTGGTCAGTGCCGTTTCCACAGAGTGCTTAGCACGGAAACCAGACTGAAGCAGGTCTAGCAGAGAGTTGGCTCAAGGAAGTCTGTCAATCTCGCATACACAATTTTTTCAAGGATCTTGGATGCAAAAGGCAGTAGCAAGATAGGACGATAGTTGGATGGGGAGTTAGGGTCAAGATTGGGCTTCTTTAGAATTGGGGTTACAGTTGCATGTTTGAAGGGCAATGGAAATATACTATATATTATATGAACGCAGTCCGTTCGTGCGATTGAACGCACTGGAGCTTCTCGCGTTCATGCAGGAGAGGCACGAACTGAGCGTGCACGCTACGTTCGCGCAATTGTAAGCGCGAACACGCACGAACACCCTGAGCTAGCCTGCTCTGTTCGTGCAGTAAAACGGCACGAACAGGGCGGGAAAACCTATGATAAAGTGCCGAACATAGCCACTCGAGGGTAGAGAGGGGAGGGGAGGGAAGGGGAGGGAAGGGAAATGAGGCTTTTCCCACAGAACGGGTCTGAGGTGAAACAGGGGAGACCCCCAGAACGGTGAAACCGTTAAAGGGGTACCCCAATGACTGTTACCCTGCCACCCCCCAGTACATATATAAGCAGTTAAAACAAGGTATGCATAGAATATTACTATTAACATACTAACATGTACATAAAGTGACAGTTAAGGATTCAGTACTCTGACCTGACTTGTGATGGAGCAGCAAAGAAAGAGGAAATGATTGGCTACGATTGAACTTTTATATTCTCTGACTCACTCTGATTGGTTCTTTCTTTAAACAGTTTTTTTCTTTGCTGCTATGGAGTTAGCAAAGAAAGTTAATGCAAAATATGAAGCTTCCTGTCATGTGGTAAAATTGTAACTACAATAACCCTTTTTAAATTAATATTTTATTGAGATTTTTCAAGAAATACAGTATGCATTAGGGTGTAAAACTCCTAGACACGAAAAGATACAAAAAAAAAAAAATAAAAATAACAAAAGGATCAAAAATCAAAATGAAAATAATGAAATTTGTCTTATTTTGTATATATAGGTAAATCTCTCCCTCCGTCCATTCATATCTAACTAATAATGCATCATTACATATATGTATAGAATTTACGTTTAAATAATACAATAGAGACTGCATATTATAAAATACGCTTATGTCCTAGATTTTGCCCTTCAACTGCAGAAGGATCCCATTATAAGTAAAAAAACGAAGCAATGTACTTTGGGAATGCTGACTACATTCCTTGATTTTCTACATTAAATTGGTCACTAGAGTGTTTTGCATTTGAGAATACATGCCATTCTATATTAAGAGAAGGGGTTTATTTATCACTGTTTTAACTATAATGGACCACTATAACAGCTAGCACAAGACACACATTGCACATTCAAGCATGATGGGTCTCAGTATAGACAGAGAACAAATGGGGCTTTTAAGACAGTAATTACAAATTATTTTTATAGTGCTTTGCCCGTAACCCAGAAGAGAAAATTGAATGTCAGTCTTCATCACTAAGTAATCCATGTATGCAAGCTGCAGTTTGGATAAACATCATTTAGATTCTTAACACATTTTACCATCATTGTAACAAAAAATTATATGATGTTATTTTAATAGCGTATTTGTTTTTTCTCCCCCTCCCCTAAATGTTGTTGTAACGGCACCCCCAGGCATAAAAGGGTTAAACCGCCGTTTAGTAGATCTTCCCTTCCAGAGACACAGGCACAGCTACTGCAGAACACCAATCCGCCGAACAGGAAACCATATGAATGCCGTAAACAGCCGAATAGGAAAATCCATACGAATAGGTTTACACTCCTAGCAGTCAAACTGGAACAGCATACAATAAATCCCCCCAAGAACGAGACAAGGCTCTGTTTTGAGGGTCAAGCAGTGAACAGACAGAGCTGTGGGTTTATTGTTCTTATATACACATTAGTACCACCCACAGGGTTTTGGAAATCATCCAATAAACACATACAATACACTCAGACACTCCCACACAAAATCCTTCCCTCTGCCTGTGATATAATTACCTTACACAATGGGTAATGTAATTATCACCGGCAGAGAAATACAGTTTTTCCACATTATTCATAACTTTAAAAGTATGTATCACATTAACATAAAACGTACATATTCAGAATCAGCATACTCCAAATACATACAAACATATGTCAAAATCTTCCAAATTGGTCCAGTGGTTCAAAAGATAGATCGTAGTTCTTTGTGACCAAAGGAAGCATGGCTTTTCTGCCCAAAACCAGTTCCACAGAGTCTTCTATCCTGGAGATAATTGGAAAGTAATCCAATTATCTCCAAGGACAGAGGCAAAACTCCATTAAGCACATGGCAGTAAAAAGACAGTAAAATACAATAAAATACAGAAGGTTACATTTATTACATAAAATACAGACATGCAACATATCCCCAGATAGCTTAGGTCTAAGCACACATTATTACCGAATGGCGCTCAGATCACACACATACAGTTCAATTGGCATGGAGCCAAAATCTTTCCCATAGTCTTTCATTATACGAATGGCCTCCATGGCATAGCTATCTGGGGTATCACCGCTCAAACAGGGCAAGCACCGAATGACCCGGCTTTCATGTCTTTGCAGGGGAAAATCAAGCGTTTCAATATGGGGCCATAGTCTAAAGGCAGCAGGCGGGCAACCAGGCTCCTCCAATGCACAGTGGCGAGATTGGTCTCGTCACAGTTGTCTAATAATGTGCCTTTGGATCTGTACCATTGTTTAAAGAAACTCACTGAAAACATTTACATTTTTTGGACAATATAAAATTAAGTTTAACTTCACCTCGTTAACATGTGTTATGTCTAATCTTTATCAGTAGATCAAAGCTCAGCATTCAGCAGAATGGTGTAAATATGTGTCTAATTAATCACATAGGTTATGTTTATGTTGAAGTAACATAAGAAAACATAAGAAAAGTAATCTGAAGTGAGAATCGATAGGTAGGGTATCTACAGGTTGTGAACTTTGTAAGCATTTTCTTTAAAATAATATATACTTTTACTATAGAATGCAATATTGGGAATTATTCATTCCACCCCCACCCCCCCTCTTCTAAACCTGCAAAATAAACTGTAAACCTTTACCAGGAATTTAGCACAGGGTGAAGCCTCCCTCGCTGGATTCCACTCCTCCATTTGATGTCACTGGTACCCACTAATGGTCACAATTAAGCATTTGATTGCACTGTTTCTTCGTTTGATGGGTGCATGGGTATGCTTTGAACTAGTGTGTAAGCTGAGGACATTTTGCACGGAATTCTTATTTGCACCCCTGAACAGAGTTCTGGCTACATCAGTCAAGATGTGTGCTGGGGTGTAACTAGCCTCCAGCACAAAAGTGAAGATATCTCCTCTGCATGGTACAGAGTTTCTAGGTGAAACACTGAACATACAGATTCCTATCACCATGACTACTTCGAAAAGCAGAAAAACCCTTTAAGCTCTGCAGATCATTAAGACTGCATTCACAGTGATCAGCCAGTCAAGTAACTGAATTCCTACTATAATTCAAAAATCCTACGCTAATATGTGTAAAAGTGCTTCATCAATGATTCTTTGGGTCCATATAATCACACCTCCCTAAGCTGTAAGATGTTCATTTTAAATGGGAATACTTTCAGAATATTGATCCTCAGGGGATGCGAAAAATATCTGCATGCTACTGCAAACACTTTCGATAAACACCAAAGAAAAGACATCTTCAAATTCCGTATGTATTTCATTGGACAGATTGAGGGAGATTTATTAAGAGAAAACTGTTGCTATATAGGTGAAAAGTTCATAATATTGGTTTCCATGGTAAAACTCCTTAATTAGCCCTTTGCCCAAGAATAGTCTATTTTTTGCCTTGTTAAATCTCGATCTTTGGATCTAATCATCTATTACCATTCAGCTTTGTGATGTTCTTATTCATGACTACACATGCACTGATCAGCCACAACATTAAAACCACCGACAGGTGAAGTGCATAACACTGATCAAATAGCTACAATGGCAGCTGTCATGGGGTGGGATTCATTAGGCAGCAAGTGAATAGCCAGTTTTTGAATTTCATGTGTTGGAAGCAGGAAAAAGTTCTGAATTACTTTGACAAGGGCTAAATAGTAATGGCTAGATGACTGGGTCAGAGCATCTCCAAAAGAGAAAGTCTTGTGCAGTGTTCCCAGTATGCAATGGTTACTACTTACCAAAAGTGGTGTAAGGAAAGACAACCAGTGAACTGCTGTCAGGGTCACCCAAGGCTCATTGATGAACTTGGGGAGTGAAGACTAGCCCGTACAGGGCCGTCTATAATATGATTAGGACCCTGGGCAATGCATTTTCTTGGGCCCCATGGGCCCTGTCCCTGCCACTGCCTCACCCCCCAATTACGTCCAACCCGCAATCACACTGACAGACGTACTGGCACATACACACACAGACAGACATTAAAATATTCACAGATACATACTGACACACACAGTCACTACACACAAATATATACTGGCAGACATACTGACACACACACAGACATACATACATACACAGACACATACATTAACAGATATACTGACACACACACAAACACATACACTGACAGATATACTAAAACACACAGACACATACACTGACAGACACATTGACACACACACACAGGCATACTGACATACACATACACACACACACACGCATACTGACATATACACAGACAGACGTAATGGCTGATACAGACAGACATTAAAACATTCACAGATATATACTGACACACACATACACTGACATACAAATATATACTGGCAGACATACTGACACACACACAGACATACATACATACATACACACACAGACACATACACTGACAGACATACTGACTGACACACACACAGACATACTTACATACACACACAGACATACTGACACACAAAGACATGCTGACACACACAGACATACTGACATACACACAGACAGACGTACTGGCACATACACACAGACAGACATTAAAACATTCACAGATACATACTGACACACACATACACTGACACACAAATATATCCTGGCAGACATACTGACACACACGTACACACACACACAGAGACATACCTACATACACACACACACACACAGACATACTGGCATACACACAGACATACTGACACACACACACACACAGACATACTGGCACACACACACAGACATACACACACAGACCTACTGACATACATTTAGCCACCCTCCAGGTTCTTACCTTTTCCTGGAGGGTGGTTTCCCTGGTCCAGTGGCAGGCTGAGGCAGATGGGAGTTCTCCTCTGGAACTCCCCTCCTCCCTGCCTTCCTCCTTCCGCGCGGCCATTATCTCCGGTAGGAGGAAGTGACGTCACTTCCTCCCAGCCGGCTGCAGAACCGGAAGAGGGGCCCGGTCGCGCTGTTTAAGCGCCTCAGCGCCCGACCGGGCCCCTGCTGACACATGCTCCCCGGGTGGCCCTTAGTGCATGGGCCACCCGGGGAGCCTCCTCAGTCTGCGGGAGCCGCACCGCCCGGTCCATAGGGGCTGCGCAAATCGCGGGGCCCACAGAGCAGCTGCTCTGGGCCCCCAGGAGCAACTGGGCCCGGGGCAGCTGCCCCGTTTGCCCCGCGTTAAAGACGGCCCTGAGCCTGTATCGTCTCATCAAACAGAAGAGCTGCTGTACCTCAAATTGCTGAAAAACTGTAACGTTCACTAGGGAAACCTAACACGCAGACAGGAAAGAGTAGAGAGAATTGCAATACCGATCCTTAGAATGGTCGGGTTATGCAAAAAGGCATAGTCAAAACACGAGCCGAGGTCAAGGGAAACAGAGAGACGGAATAACGAGAGGCAAAGCCAAATATCAGTAACCAGGAAATCCAAATAACTATTGCAACGCTCAATGGTAAACCAAAGACCACAACAGGGCACTGAGGCAAGGGAGAGGTTAGCTTATATACACACAGGGTGTGTCTGATTGGCTAATCTCCAATTAGTGTTAACCACAACACGTGGGAGGAGTTTCTTCCCTCCCTTGTGGTCTCTGAGGTCATCACTGTGTGCCGGGTCACATGATCGGGTCTGGCACACATAAGGAAGCTGCTCTGGAGCGTGCAGCATCAGACACACTGCCAGTCTGGAGACAGGGACCAGATGATGCCGCTCGCTGTGATGAGGTAAGCAACTTCGCCGTGAGTGACACGGGGGCAGGAGACCTGACATATACTTAATTCTGACTATGATAGAAAGTTTATAGAAAAAAAACTCATTGAAAACTCATTTTCAACACTAGTACTATTTAATTTGTCCCCCACATTTTTAGCGTAGGACCCACCAATATTGGGGTACTTTGAAAGTAGTGGTGGGCTTAACAACATATGGCCATATGGTGGAACCAAATCCCCATATTTATTCTCAGATAGGCATTTTAGTAGCCTTCTTTGTATTATATTTTTTTTGTAGTCTGAGTGCGCTGCAACTATTTATTCTCTTATGTATGAAGTTTGGTCACTGCGGCAGCACCTTTCATACAAAATGCACTATGGGAAGAAGGCAGGCCAGCAGAGGCAGTGTTATGCTCTGGGCAATGCTCTGCTGGGAAACTTTAGGTCCTGGCATTCATGTGGATGTTACTATGACTTGTACCACCTATCTAGAGATTGTTGCAGACCCCATACAACCTCTCATGTCACTGTTCCCTGACGGCAGTGGCATCTTTTTGGAGGATTATGCATCCTCTCATATTGCAAAAATGTTCAGGAATGGTTTGAGGAACATGACAAATAGTTGAAGGTGTTGCCTTGGCCTCCAAATTCCCCAGATCTCAATCTGACTCAGCATTTGTGGGATGTGTTGGATCAACAAATACCATCCATGGAGGCCGTACCTCTCAACTTGCAGGGCTGGGATTCCTATGAGTCAGAGTAGGCTCCTGCCTACAGGCACCTGACCACTAGGTGTTCAGCACTTATCTTGTCACGTGTCTTTCTGAGCATAAAAAAGGCTGGTGGAGAGAGATAAATGCCAGGAGCTTTGGCCTGTGTTCTACCTTAGTCCAATCAGCTTTAATAGCAGAGCTGCATGAACAGTTATAGATTTTGGAAATTTCAGTGCAGTGCAGAAGGGGTAGCTATCAGTGATGCACACTGTATAACCACTCATAATATAATATAAATTCTGAACTACAGAAGACATAGGAGGGAGATTAATTTCCAAATAACCCTTCAAACGCCAGCACTCAAAGGCTAAATATGAAAATAAACTCTTTATCTTAATCCTGTGTTTAACCCGTCTTAGAAACTACACCTCATGTCAGACATCAAGTCTCCTGGAGGTTTCTGGAGACTCCCGCATTTTGAATGCAGCTCCATGACACACGCTAATTGTATACAATATCCCTGAAATCACACACACAATCTGACAGTCAATGTATATCAGATTTTGTGTGTGCGTGTGTGTGTGATTTCAATGACATTATATCTGATTTGTGGCCAACTGATAACACATGTTAAATAGGGGCACGGTTAAGAGTGACAGGATCCCTGTAGTATCTGCCAGCAGGGAGGAAGTACCAGCCTGTCACATCCTCCCAACTTCACAGAGAGCCACCAGGAGAAATGGAGGGAGGAGGAGGCTGGAGGCAGCTGGAGGCGGAGACACCACCATAGGAAGCAGTATGGAGGCAGAAGAAAGTCTGGAGTTTCTACATGCTCACTCCCATCAGCCTCAACCAGGATCCCAAGCAAGCCACCCTCTTAGACACAAAAGGTAAGCTAACAGGAGGGAGGCTGCAAATATAAAAGTTTTAACATGTATGGATAAGTATATCTCTGTGTGTATGTGCCAGTATGTATCTGAGTGTGTGTGTGAGTGTGTGTAACTGACTGTGTGTATGTGTATGTGCCAGTGTGTGTATCTGAGTGTGTGTGTGTGTGTGTGTATGTCCCAATGAGTGTATTTGAGCATGTTTATGTATGTGTCAGTGTGTATATCTATGTGACAAGCTGTGTGCATGTGTTTTTACACAGTCAGTAAACAAAAAGGGGACAAAATGTTTTTAGATACATAAATGAGAAAAGGAAAGTAAAAGAAGGATTAGTTAGATTAAAAACAAAAGAAGGAAGGTATGTAGAAAAGGATAAAGGTCTAGCTGACTGCCTCAACAAATATTTTTGTTCAGTATTTACAGATGAAAATGAAGGAAAGAGGCCTCAGTTAGTAAAAAGGACAAATGATTAATTTGTTACATGTGAGTTTACAGAGGAAGAGGTTCTATTTCAACTGTCAAAAGAAAAGACAAATAAGTCAATAATGATGGAATACACCCAAAGTTATTAAAAGAGCTTAGTGGTGTACTAGCAAAACCATTAACAGATTTATTTAACCAATCATTGTTAACAGGAGTTGTTCCAGAAGATTGCAAGTTAGTGAATGTTGTGCCCATTCACAAGAAATGTAGTAGGGAGGAGTCGGGCAACTATAGGCCAGTAAGCCTTACTTCAGTAGTGGGGAAAGTAATGGAAACCATGTTAAAGGATAGGATTGTTGAACATCTAAAATCACATGGCTTTCAAGATCAGAGACAGCATGGGTTTACTCATGCCAAACTAATCTTATTGATTTTTTTGATTGGATAACTAAAATAATAGATCAGGATGGTGCAGTAGACATTGCTTACCTAGATTTCAGTAAGGCTTTTGACACTGTTGCACATAGAAGGCTTATCAATAAACTGCAATCTTCAAGTTTGGATTCCAATATTGTTGAATGGGTAAGGCAGTGGCTGAGTGACAGGCAACAGAGGGTTGTAGTCAATGGAGTATATTCGAAGCATGGGTTTGCATGGGTTTGTCACCAGTGGGGTACCTCAGGTACTTAGACCCATTCTCTTTAATATTTTTATTAGTGATATTGCAGAAGGTCTTGATGGTAAGGTATGTCTTTTTGCTGATGATACTAAGATATGTAACAGGGTTGATGTTCCAGGAGGGATAAGCGAAATGGCAAATGATTTAGGTAAACTAGAAAAATGGTCAGAGTTGTGGCAACTGACATTTAATGTGGATAAGTGCAAGATAATGCATCTTGGATGTAAAAACCCAAGGGCAGAGTACAGAATATTTGATAGAGTCCTAACCGCAACATCTGAGGAAAGGGATTTAGGGGTGATTATTCTGATGACTTAAAGGTAGGCAGACAATGTAATAGACAATAGACAATGTAATACAGCAGCAGGAAATGCTAGCAGAATGCTTGGTTGTATAGGGAGAGGTATTAGCAGTAGAAATAGGGAATTGCTCATGCTATTGTACAGAACACTGGTGAGATCTCTCACTTGGAGTATTGTACGCAGTACTGGAGACCGTATCTCCAGAAGGATATCGATACTTTAGAGAGAGTTCAGAGAAGGTCTACTAAACTGGTTCATGGATTGCAGGATACAACTTACAAGGAAAGGTTAAAGGATCTTAACATGCATAGCTTGGAGGAAAGACGAGACGGAGGGATATGATAGAAAAATTTAAATACATAAAGGGAATCAACACAGTAAAGAAGGAGACTATATTTAAAAGAAAAGAAACTACCACAACAAGAGGACGTAGTCTTAAATTAGAGGGGCAAAGGTTTAAAAATATCAGGAAATATTACTTTACTGAGAGGGTAGTGGGTGCATGGAATAGCCTTCCAGCTGAAGTGGTAGAGGTTAACATAGTAAAGGAGTTTAACCATGCGTGGGATAGGCATAAGGCTATCCTAACTATAAGATAAGGCTAGGGGCTAATGAAAGTATTTAAAAAATTGGGCAGACTAGATGGGCCGAATGGTTCTTATCTGCAGTCACATTCTATGTTTCTACAGTCATGTCCTTGTTCATACATATTTGGTGGCTGTGTGCTTGTGTGTGTGGGTAGTGTGTTTGTGGGATAGGGGAGCAGGGGGTGCTTTAGAATTTTGTGCTAACAGGTGCCTGACATGTAAATCTGACCCTGGTGACTTGCAAGACTTAAAGGATCTGCTGCTAATGTCTTGCTGCCAGATACATTCAGAGGTCTTGTGTAGTCCATGCTTTGACGCAATAGAGCTGTTTTGGCAGCACGACGGGGTCTTACACGATATTAGGCAGGAATTTTAAATGTTGTGACTGATCAGTGTATATTGAATTACTGCTGTCACTTATGTATGCAGAATTTAGTCAAACTCTATTGCTTTGTTTACTTTGAAGACCTGTAAAGCTCACTGCACAGTTTTGAATACTATTTGTGTTATTTATTAGTGTCACAGTTATAGTGCTATTCACTAAAATGGGAATTGTTTAAAATTTACAGTGTTCCCATTAATGTCT